GTTAAAGCAGACTTTTATATTAGTTTCGCCACCAATGAAGCATAAAGTTCATTAAACATATATGTGTCAACAACGCTCTGAACATTTTGAAATGAAAGAATTCTTTATCAAGAAAGTGTCCTTTTCAAGCTAGATAAAATGTAATGCATCTTAATGTTTTCAATTTAAAATTGGCTCTCCATCATTGCGCATAAAAAACTCCTATACATTTAGCCTACATGAAATCATGCGTTGAAGATTGAAATCTCTTTTTCTCACTCCTATACACCTTAATTTCAATAAAAACTGTTTAACTCAGCTATATCATAATATCAGTTTCATTCACGGATTTCCATGTGTTTCATCTTGTTAGGCTCTATTTCATCCAGCGTGTTGTACAAGTAGTCGTCAGCGAAGTTGAGAAGTCGTTTGAGGCTGAGAAGTGACAGAATGTTAATGTTCTGATCAAGCTCTACTTCACATTCGTAGTTTTTCACAGGAAGAATGTGTGATCTGGGCAGCCCCATGACCATGGCGACCCTGTCCACACACTCTTTCATCCTTGGACTAAAAAACACTTTGCTGATATCATTTGAGATCTCCTCACATATTCTGTCGATTTTTGTCAGAAGCACAACCTGGGGAATCCCTGTAAAGAACAAGTTTCAATAGATTCGTTAAGATGACTGTACAATAAAGATATGACATCGATAAAAAATGGTATTTGTTATTCCCTGCCTGACGTTAAGCAATTAGGGAAATGGCAACAACTGGTTCACCTGTTGTCAGTATAATGTGACCGGGCGGAAGGCCTTGATGGGTGGCTTTGGCATAGTATATCAGTGAGATAACTTAATAAAGTCAGAATCAGATCCGCTCTATTGCAACGAGGCAATTACACCAACATACCCTTAGCAAACAGCTAAGTTCACACTATTTTAGTGCCAAACTATTGTTAGACTAAAGATAGTCATGAATTACAAAAAACGGTTGACGAGGTAAATTTTCTTTTTAGGTTATGTTACCTCAACTCCTCGTTTTCCTTCTTACCCAACATCATGTGATTATCATTTAGTTTAGTTGGTTTGGCTGTTTTTCAAGGAATGTCAAAAAGTATGATATCTTTTTATAATTTTTGTGGAGTTCCTGCATTAATCAAAGAAACTATGTATCTTTTACTAAACAGTATGTCGTTTAAAATTGTAAATTTGTCATTAATCCTATAAAGCAGATACACAAATCGAAATCGATATAAATTTGTGAATATGCATGGTTCTCATTACAACCACAATTTTGGACCACAGTGGTCCAATGCTACTTCATACCTAGCCTAACTATATTACCATAATTATAATGCAACTCAAAATGTTGGTCAGGGTCAATTCTTTGCAACCAACGAAAAGTCCATCCCAACAAGCGATAAGTAAAATCTCATTACTCTAGGTCTACACAAAAAATAGCGTGCGCAAATCGTGCATAAATCGTGCACTCACCGTCCACACATCGTCCGCACAACTGTGCGATTTAACAACCGTTCGCCCCGTTGTGTGCTTCTCTCTGCACAAGTGTGCGGTTTGGTACAATTGTTTTCATCAATACTACGGAATGAAACAACATTACGGAAGGCTCGTATGCAATTATGTACACTGTATATATTATTTTCTCATCACAACAATTAAGATTATTACAGTTTTACGACGCGTGTTAAACGGTATTACAGTGACAGTTAGACTTGTCCAGAATGGGTTTGGTTCCAAGGTAACAGAACAGGTAAATGACATTTGATGAGTGACCGGAGTTTTACCTGGCCTGTGCCTGACACAGAGAGCCGATACATGATTCCGAATGACCGTTATGAAAACACAACTGGACGTTAAGTATTTGTTAGTTGCATTCGGTTTGGTGTTTAGTTTTCAACAGTATTTATGACGAAACTGACCACTCTGACCTAACTTGTCAATAACGGTTTTTCACTTAAAAACTTTATATAACCTGCCCTTTTTACCAGCAAGCTATCGGCAAACAAGAGTACCGCGGGGCGGAACAATATACGCCCGTCGAATGCCATATAGTGTTATATACTTTCTTACATTGAAATAAGATCTGCATCATTCAAAGAGTGGTTAGCCGACATGCTATAAAAATGTAGGAGAAAATCTCCGGATAAAAAAATAATCAAATACTGAAATGAACAAAGAGCAATTACTTTTGCAAAACTCGTCGAATCAAAATTCTTTTCGAGGAAACACAACAACATATCATGATTATTTAGCCTACTTAGTTTCAAAGAAATCTGTCAAAAAATGTAAGAGAAGATCTTTTGACAAAACAACAAATACTGAAATGAAAAAAGGGCAATAACTTTTGGAAAAATTGTCGAATCAAAATTCTTTTAAGGGAGACATAACTTCATAGCATGATTATTATATATACTAAGTTTCAAAGAGATCCGTTGAAAAATGTAGGAGGAGATTGCCGGACAAAAATCAAATACTGAAATGAACAAAGGGCAATAACTTTTGGAAAAATTGTTGAATCAAAATTCTTTTCGAGGAAACACAACAACATATCATGAATAATTAGCCTACTAAGTTTCAAAGAGATCAGTTGAAAAATGTTGGAGAAGATTGCCGGACAAAAATCAAATACTGAAATGAACAAAGGGCAATAACTTTTGGAAACATTGTTGAATCAAAATTCTTTTAAGGGAGACACAACTTCACATCATGATTATAATGTATAACAAGTTTCAAAAAGACTGGTTAAAAAATGTAGGAGGAGATTGCCGGACAAACAAAAGTTCACGCCGGACGGACGGACGGACAACGCCATACCAAATACTCCCGTCAAATTTGACGGGCGTATACAAAGCATGTCCAATGGTCTCTAGATTATTCAGAAGTTTGTTGAAAGGTTTTATTACATTTTAATCATTTAATCTTTACGGCTGTTAAAGGGAATTATTTAAGCGATCTTTAGAGCTTGTCATTCAGGTTGCTAAAGACCAACGATTATAAACCAAGGTCTCTTTGATGTTTGAAAGTTATAAAAATGTTTGTATGCATAAGTTATCTTTTTTTGTGAATGAAGTTGAAAAACATCATATATGTTCTAAATATTTACCTCTTTGATTCATTCGCAATTGCATGGACTTGATCCGCTCCATCACTTTCTCGGGGATGACATCCACAGTACTACCATCCAGGACAAATGCCACACAGTGGATTCTATCGGACATTGTCGGGTTCTTCACAAAACCAAGTGCGTCGGGTGATAGTGGAACAGCAGGGTTAAACTGGTATAAATATAAATACGTACATAGTGAATAACTTCTTAAACCCGTTCTTAGAGCTGAACTTTAAGTATATTATTAGTTGAGAACGGGCTAAATATTTGAGAATGGTAAGGAGCATGCTTAGATATTGAAGCACGTGCTTAAATATTTAATTTCAATGCTTGTAGTTTATCCTAGTTTTTTTTATTGATTAATGTGTTTCAAATAGGGCTTCTATGTATCAACAATCACATTCTTACTTAAGTACGTTCTCAAATATTTCAGAACGCCTTTGAGATCCACCATTTAAGAACTTCTCAGCTAAGTATGTATTTCGCGTAAGAATTTAAAGTTAAGAATTGGAGAATTAAAGATGTTTCGAGATTCCTTGGCCTGGTTTCCAGTTTTTACTTGGAGGCAAACATGTTGCAGCCTGATAGGCATGCTGTCATCAGGATATTTAATGATTGCATTCTATCAATTTGGTTAAGGTTATTCATTTGAACACACTTGTAGTCCTTATATTCCCCAATGCCTCTTGACTATTCAGAAGAAATTGTCTAAGCTGTAACACATTAGACCCGAGTGACTCTGATTATAAGAAAAGTTATTTTCTTTATGCAAATTTTGTAACTTTCCATGCTAGTAAATGTTACTAGCCAAATGTTTTGACTCTAGGCCTTAGTTCTTTCTACGTTCGTTAATGTTTGTAAAAAAGGCCCCCGTAACCTTGAACAACATACATGAAGTTTATTTCGTTTATCCAACTGTTTAGTACTCCATACCGTTAAAGTATTGGAAGCCATTTCAGCATTTAAATAGAGTTGATAACTTTGCCCTTAAATATAATTAAAAATGATTTATTTTAAATAATTGTCTTTCGCTCATCGCCAGAAAGTTAGTAACCAAATATTACCAGTCTAGCCCCTTCAGATCTAACTTTTAAAGTTTTAGGACTTTAGTAAGAGCCGGGGCCATTATATTCGCAAATTATACCTGCCAAACGTGATGACTTTGTGCTGTTTTGTTCTAAAAAAGAAAAGCGATTTTAAAGTTTGATTTCCAATATTGGTGATAGCTGTTTGCAAACTTATTGTCTGAAATCCGATTTCACATTTTGACTACTGGGACTACAAAATATAGTCAAAGTATTTCTCGCAGACTTTGTCAAGTATTATGGCAGGAAGCCACTAGCCAATAAAAAGCCCCACCGCCAAAGACAATTTAAAAAGAAGACGTTTTACGAACCGAATCAAATGCTCAAATCTCTAATCGTAATAAACCATTGGCTTGTATGTGCCTCAAACGAAATCAGCATTTCTGCAGAGGTAGGACAATCAAATGAATGCATGTAAACTGAATAATTTTTAAAGCAATATTCAAATATCTTTGGGTGTTTTTTCTGTTATTTATTCTAATTTCGTAATGAAACTGCTCATAATAATACTTTCCACCACCCATTAATTGAATTTTACTTGTATCTATGTTTATGGCGCCTTTCTGATAAAACCTCTTTACAAAAAGAAACAAAAACATGGCAAATTTCATTTTAAAATCCAAGACCGTTTTGGTCCTCCGATCAGTATCCAAATGCACTACGTGGATGCACAAAAGGGAACCAATGCATGACAGCTGTGAAGAACAAACGGAATCTGTCAAAATAAAACAAAAAACTAATGGCTTGTAACATATATTCACCAGGAACAAAAACAGGTAATTGTCTGTGCAAAGAAACAAACGCACTCACCTTGTACCTGTCTGGCACGTGACCCTCAAGTAGATAACCAATCTCATGATCATCAAGACCTTGGTCCTCTTCAAGACCACGTGTGTCGCATAACCGAAAGTTGAGAGATTTCCCAGCATATCCGTCTCTTACTTGATATGTCCTATACTAAACGGTGAAAAATAGAGAAAGAAAAACAATCATTACGCTTTTTCAAATTTATATTGAATCAGCAAATACAGAGAATTCAACAAGAACCAGTACCTTAATGAGAACATGACCCAATTTCTAGATCAACTTGATCATATCATAATATTGATAGTTCAGTCACTTCACATCTTTCCAAGCCAGTATAGTTTTACATAAGTCAGTACATTTGTTAAGTTTTACCTGAGGTTGTATACGGTTTAATGTGATTCAGTTCATAGTTTAAGGTGCCAACACCTGCGTGTGTTACGTTCATCTTTCAGAATACATTTGTACAAGGTGGTAGATTCTGCCGGTGACTTTCTTTGTCCCTGAAGTTTGCCATTTGATAGCCACATTAACTGTTTTTCTTTTTTCAACAACAGTTTAGACCTATTGGAATTCAAACACGTTTTGGCCCCTACCATCACCGATGACTCTAAAAGAACAAAACAGCTGCATGATGCAGTGTCATTCATGTTTGGCATCTGTAAATTTACCAAACGTTTGTGATCACATGTGTGTGTTTTACGTTCATTTTTCACTTGAGTCAGTACCTAGTTTTAATGTAGTAAAAGGTTTAATGTAAATCAGTTCCTAGTTCATCTATGCCATATTTTCATGAGATCCAGTTCATAATTTTATAGTAGTTCCTAGTTTCACGTTAGCCAGTTCACAGCTTCGTTTGATCCACTACAATTCAAGAGGCGAAGATGGCCCGTAGCTAACCTAGATGTGTAAGCAATTATGATCAACATCTCATCAGAAGTAATCCTGTTAATCCTGCTGACCACATCTATAAAGATATCACTTGTTCAATGGAACCGACTTTAAAGCTCCCTATTGCATCAAAGCTAAACGTTTATATAGAGACAAATTGCAAATATTGACCACTTTTCGGATTTCTCTCACAGATGGCCTATGAAACAGGTATTATTGTAGTGTATTACAAAAGAAATCCTATTTTTGGTTTGCCTCTCATCACCGAAGGAGACGATACTTTCCCTTATTTAAAAACAGTATACCCTTATGACAGGGATATTTCCAAGCCAGTTTGATTGAAAAAAACTCAACTTACTGAATGTTAGGAGTAGGTTATTAACGTCTTAAAAAATTGCAAATTACCCCTTTTAAAATATTGCCTCTTAGCTCTCAGTAAAGCTACAAACTTTCTTTATTCAACAATTGACTACTAGGTCCGTTTGATCAATGATGCTAAATGATAAGTTTGGTGGTGATCAATGTAACAAATAATGTATATATGGTTATGGGATAGGGATCCAATTGTATCCGTGTAGTTACTCAGGAAATCAATCCCCTGTGGCAAGGCTGGGCCTATTGGCAAATGCCGTTAGCATGAGTGCATACATTACATCATGCCTAGCAGTTTCAAATATGGCGTTAAGGTGCGGAGTTCAACATTTGATATGTTTTGACTCAGAAACTAAGTCCCAGGGTGCTAGAAGACTGACATTTGGACAAATCCTGGTTTAGATGATATTGGTATGTTTGCCTCTTTGTGCCCATTGACGATATATGCAGTTTCAGACTGGAGTTCTTTATAATTTCCTAGCATGTTTAGCAAGGACTTAGTCCATCGGAAGGGTGAGTCCCAGGTCAGATTAGTCTAGCATGCCAACTTTGAATGTATGTAACTATACAGTTAGGATCCTAGTGGTACACCCCTATATTACCCCAAATCCCCCTATTTAAGGACACTTTATGCCACCTATCTCAAAGGTAATGCCGACTACATGAATGCAAATTATAATCACTTTACTCAAATGATATTTCAAACCCTGAGGCACGCCCCTTTATCTATACAAGATTGAGTCTCCTTGACCTTGTGATCATGCAATCCAAATTTAGTTGAAATTTTAGGTGTTATTCACGAGAAGGCTTTAAGATGAAGACTTGACGGAGAGATGACGAGGTGTAATGGGTTTAGAGACAATGGATACCACGCTATGACATTGCATTCTTGTGAAATATACGCCATGACTTGGCGTTCTTGTTTATTATACTTATCAAAATATTATATTGGGCACTATCACTCATGATCATGACTTGATACAGGTTCAGCTTTTTAATTATCCTTGGAACGTTGACCTGTTTCAAGTTCTTTCCACTGTCTTACTTCATTTTTTAGTATCATATGACTAATTACGGGCCCTATAAATATGCTGAATCAAGACGTTTTCTTTAGTAGCCTTTTCACATGAAACATTGAAACATTGAAGACACGGAACTGATATGCTGATCCAACTGTATCATAGAAAAATAAAGCAAGAACATGTGGCCTAGTCTTTGACGTCATGATGTACATTTGTACGAATAACGTGACACCAGATTCCAATCAATGTTACACATGTTTTGGTTTGCTATTTAATGTTATACTTACAGATGTTGTAAGACTATGTTCAGCGCTTCCAGCGTTGGCCTGGGCGCTTATGTGTCCCCGGAAGATGGAGTTGATGGTGTTAAAGTAGCTAGACTTCCCAGCTCCGACCTGACCAACCAACAGGATCCTCGCCTGCTGGAGGTCCAATCCGGGTAACGGTTTATAGGTGGCCACCCTGTCCTTTATCTCCTCCTCAAACTGTATACAAAGAAACTAGATTAATTAGAGATCTTCTTATCTGGATTGTTTTGTTTCCTAGAAAGCAGCGATGCTACTCATAGTCCGTAAAGGTATCTGTTTTGGAAATAAAATAAATCACACCATGGTAAAATATAATCACTCATGCTCATTTAACTGACCATGTTCACTACCACGATAAACCAGCATGGTGACACCTGACATGACTATACTTCATCATGGTTGCTAAAATTGAAATGATTCTACAAATCATCTGAAAATAGCCTCATCATAAACTGAATGTCGTCAAAAGAAGTCCGAGAATGTTTATCTCACTTTGAATATAGAATGAACCAATCAATGCCTTATGAAGCCGATATATACAAATGGCTATAACCCAGTGAGCGATAGGCTTACAATGATACTTTGGAAGAAGGCATACATTATTGTGTAAAGTTTTAGAAGGCATTTCAATTTAAGATAATTGCATCAACACAGACTATGGCAGCAGTGATTTGTGTGACACAAGATTTGAAAAAAAATCATCTGTTAATGCAGTAAGCACCAAAGCTAGCCCCATTACAACTGACAGCTAGTACAGGTTGCTCATTTATAAAAAAACAACCTGATATATATGTGTATTTAGATATACTTTACAGTCAGCTTTTGTTGTTCTTTTTTTCCCCCTGATTAGTCTCAAAATAAAATATGCACAACCGATGTCGAAGGGAATATTGTAACATACATATGAAATTTAAAAAATTTTATTCTGTCAGACACATTTTGTGAAATATTGATACCATCTCGAGCTGTCAGAATAAAAGATTACGGCCTTGTTGTCATACTGTTTTTCAAAACAGTCTCATAAAGAAACATGCTCAACTACCAATCAAGGATAACCTTCATGAAAGATCTGTTATACGTCTTGAGAAAAAGAAGTATTAATCTTGATCTATTACAATCCAAGATGGCTGCCTGGCGGCCATCTCGATTTCCTGTTCAGTCTAAAAGAAAAAAAAATGAACAAATATTGAACAACGGAAACCTTTATATGAAATTTGAGAGATATCTGTCCAATGCATTGTGAAAAGATGAACGACTACGGAGGGAGAACAATTTGATTATGAACAGCAATCTAAAGATGAAGGACTATAAAGATATTTATGTGAAAGTATTCAAATGTAAGGTAGACCATATTTAAATCATGGTTTTGTTACAATTTGGTTGGCCATTTATAGTAACTGACCGACTATAATTGACAATGGTTAAACCCTTTTTGACCGAACGTTTGACTCTGTGTAGGAAAACACGCATTATTTACTTTATGGTCTACTAAACTATGTAACATGGACATCTTTGATACTAGAGAGGTTGCGGTCACTTACGCTGGAATATGTCATAGCAAAATGAACGCAGGGAAAAGGTTATTTTTGGTGAGGAGCGACACCCGACTTCAAAGCCAGTCAATTTTACCGTATTCGATCGCGAGATTCTTTTGATATACATCAAAGGATCAAACTAATCTTCCTGTCTCATCCACACAGTGGCAAATTAAAAGCCTTCAATTTCGTCATCACATATTACAGGGGTTCAGAGAAAGGAAGTGAGTATCACGGATGCTGTAAAGAATACTTTACGTATGACGCATGACCTACTATAATACCTGTATTATAATGTACATAGTAATATAATTTTCACAATTTCACAATAGTTACTCTACTTAGATCCTGGTTTTCTATGATCTATATAAATGCTTTTTTAAATGGTAAGCATTATCAGTCTAAATAATAAAAATAAAATACATGGATATATCTAAACAGTTTAAAACGTAAATACTGCTATACAAATACATGTATACATTACAGACCTTACGACTCCAGTCCACATTCCGAATCCACGGCTTTTGTAGCAGCTCCTGTTCTGTAAGTAGTCAGATGGAGAGATAATATTGACATGAGCATAATCCATGTACTTCTTTAAAAAAAAAAATTTGACAGACAGACAGACAGACAGACAGCTTCAAAACATACATTAAGTCACTTCAAATAGTACTGTTACGCAAACCCAACATTCATACTTAACCCTGGTACTTAAATTCTAAACTACATTTTTATTCTTTTCATATCATAACGTATATCATTTATCGAGTTTTTTTTCTTAGAATAAGTTTTTGTGGGTTGATTTACTTTTAAAATAAACATTAGAAACCATAGTTTATTTTAATAGCCATTTGTAAGATCTAGAACAGCCACTATCAAGAATACCTTAATTACATAGCTTTGATGCAATGAGTAGATGTTTGCAAGCATTTAACATTCAAAATCAGTATTAATGGATGTGCCCTGTGTTACCTTCGATACTGTAGACCTCGAGGTCAAGAACCTGTAAGTGACCATTCATCACAGAGTTGTAGTTCTGCCCTTGCATATCATAGGTCCCTCCGAATCCGTTTGTGTTACCATTTAAAGGAAAATTATTTCCGGATTTGTTCACAGTAGCAGAAAAAGAATGAAGGTCATGTCCACCAAATGTTGGACCATAACTCGCATTCCCGTAGATTGCGTTTGTTCCGCCTGTTTTGTTGGGAAACTTCATTGGCTGTGCTGTACCGTTATACTCTAATTTAAACAGAAAGGCTTTAGCGTCGACGCTATAGGCACCATTAGATTGCCAGTTGACAGCAGTGTAAGCCCCGTATACGGACTTGTCGGTATTGTACAGGACGGTGACTGTCGGCCCCTTGTTGTCACAAAGACTATGGAAGGTTGGGGCTACACATCCATCACGGCTGATCTTGTACAGTAAGGTAAACTTGTAGTTTTTAGTTGAATCGATCCATTTAGAAAGTTGATCCTTGTGGGTTTGTGTGAGCTCTGTTGCCATTTTGTTTACTTGAAAGAAAAATGATATATATATATTCAGAAATATTTTATACTTTGGTGGTGAATCTTTCTATGCTCAATGTTCTAAATATGTTCTGTTAAATTTATGTATATGACCTTAATGATATTATTTTATGATATGAATATAATTAATGTATTTATACCGAATCACTGATTATCATATTTCTAACTGCTTTATCTCATGTATATGCTATATGCTTCCATGATAAAACGAATACATTTTAGCAAAGATAAGGTTGACTTATAGGCTAATATTTTAGATGAATTCTGTGATGATTTACTGATGTATGATTGCATGCAACCACACTGTAGTTCAATAACAATAGGCTCATTTTATAGTGTTGAGAAATATGTTTTAAAATGTGTGTATTTTAATGACGATTAATGTATTTATGTATGTTCTATGCAATGAGTTGAGACGTAAATAAATAAGTAAATTTAAATGGCAGTTTTTAGGATATGCAAAACAAATAAATATATTCAACCCATAGTTTGCAGGGCTAGACAATCCTGGATATGAAGGCCTAGTGCCTGTCGAGTTGGTTTTGTGACCAGGTAAATATTTGTTTCTCCCTTCCTGATTGGTCAGTGTAAATCAATCAACTTATCTTTTATTTTGTGTTTTTATTTATTAAATATATAACTGATGGAAGACAATCATTGTCATATTAGCTAAGTCTATCAAATGCACACGAAACAGGTATAATTTAAATTATTTTAGCCGAGAACTGAACAGAGGCGTTTTACGGAATAAATAATTTTGAAAACTTGTTCCCGCTGGACAGGTATAGACAGACACACCGGTGGAATTCCCTCGGTGTCTCTGTGTTTACAGTTATTAAAAAGTATGAAAACGTTCAGTTTGGTAGATAAGTTGAATTACTTGAACATGATTTATTAACAATGAAAAAATTGTTGATTGGCAGGATTGTAAAATGGAGCAGTATTTGACACAGTGATGACGAATTTACTGATAGAGGGGTGTTTTTTTAGCTAGTAGTCTGTTAGTTTCCTTTTCTAATTTACATGTAGACTGTGACGACTATATTTATGTTTGTCTTCTGTTATGTTATAGCGTGTGATATGTCCCTGTGGTTGTCTCTAATTACCTATATTTATGTTTGTCGTCTGTTATGTTATAGCGTGTTACATGTCCCTGTGGTTGTCTGTAATTACCTATATGAAGCTTGCTCGACCCAATGCCCTCATACAATATTTCACCTGTTCTCGTAAAAGTGTTATACATGTACATGTAATTGGGTCATTACACAAGAGCCACACAAACACTCCACAGGAAAACTTCCTGTTTTGTTACGATACCCTGATCATACAGGTAACCCTAAACACTGACAAATCGACTAAAGATTGTGAAATTCACAGTATGATCGTAACAGCTAACATGGACACGCATTGAGAAATAAATTGAGACAAAACAATTTTTGAAATTTCAGTCAATTAGAAAAATTAATCAATCATATACACATCCATTACAACTCAATAAGCTATTCAGCAATATTTAATAATGTAATGAAGTAATCATACATCTGTATCACTGTTGGAGCTTATCCTTTACACTAACTCTTACACCAGGTCGGACAGTGAAACTAATTTGTTCAGACTTCTTTAATTTTAATTGTTGTATCACGTTTGGTTACATAAATATGTGTGCATGCAATGTTGTCGTGATGATATTGAATGCTTGGGTTTTTCCAAAACCCACTGGCTTACAAAAATCCGGTTGGGTTTTCTGAGAAATGTATTAAAAGAAAGTAAAAGTACATGCTTGTTTTCTTTTTAAAACCCCAACCATAACCCGGCCATAATGAACTGGGTTGCTTAAAATATGAGTGGGTGTTAAGTACACTTGTACTTGCACACACTTTTAGAAAACAAAACCACATTTATACTTTTCATCTTAATGTATGTACTAATGAAACCTTTAATGTACATACTATTTGTATGTATAGAAATGTGATCAGCCTGCCTGATGAAGGTATAAATGTATACTGTATACTGTAGCTGAGATGTAAAAATGCAATTCTGCTTGTAACTATCTCCTTTTCAACATAAAATTTCTAGTTGTTTTATGTGTCGGACGTGCAGTGATAGGGTGTATATGTGGCTTGTGGCGGGTGTGTGTGTATAGGGTGTGTGTGTGTGTGTGTATGTTAAACTTAAACCACAACTGAAGTTAGAGGTGCATGATTTGACATTAGCGAAAATAGAATTTCCATTTTTGTGACTCTTAAATAATGCAACGAATAAACATAAATAATATGAGATCTATCAAGGAAACGTTCTGAAATCTAAACACCCGCCACCCGCCCCTTTACAATGTACAAAGTCCTCGCTACTCGAGACATCTCCTGATCGCTGTAGGCCTGCATTTGTAAACAACCTAACATTTAATATAATTGGCTGCACACAGCAAATAATCACACCAGAAAACATCATTAGAAAACAACATTGATGATAAAATAAATGCTAAATGCATACTTACTTCCCGTGTTAGCTCTAACAAGTACTGACGATCCTCCTGATCGGTATTTCCCAAATTTCCTGGTAAGCCAAAACCGAAAGTAAAACCGGATAACAATGAATCACCGAAACAGAGCGTACGTGAATCGACACGAACTGAATGATGAACGAGAGGAATTCTATTATACAAGATACCAGAGTGTATTACTTAAGTTATTTAAGCGTTATCAGCGTGTAGAAATCGGTCACTCTAAGGCTAGTAACATAAAGGGAAACAACTCTATCTTCCTTAAGCCGAAAAGCGACTTCATAACAGATTTTCATCGAAGTTCATACGAAGACCTTACATGAGTTCGTAAGGTACCAAGGTCAACGCCACAGTCACTGTTGCTATTTATACAGTAGGTCATCCGGATTAAAGCCATTAATTGCTACATGTGCTTTTGAAAGCAAATTTTCATAAAATGAAACTAGTTTGAAAGTGCCAATCGGGAATACATTATTTGTCTTTCAGATATTGTTTTCTGTTTCGGGGTTATACCATATTTATCACTTTTGCACTTTGCATAAATCCGCCAATAAAAACAATGATTTGAAAGTTGAGGTATATAATTCACCTTCTTATTACAACTAAATACATTAATCGTTCAGCTGTTTATTACGTACGTTCAGTTTTGCATATAATTAAGAATCTAGTTCGTAATAATTTCTCAACTCCTCTCAGAGGTATAAATATAAGTATGGTAAATATTCAACAATTTAAAAAAACATTTAAAGTCGTATTAACCTACCAAATTCAGGTGACATTGATTTAGACTGTAAATCCAAAGGGTCACGTGTTGACGTCATAATTTCTATGACGTAATTACCGTAAAGTTAGAAACCGATGACACTCATTAGAACAGGGGTATACTATTCATTGAACAAGGATATACAATACCTTCACTATTTTGAACTATATGCAGTATTTTTATAAAAATATTATAATTAATTTATGATATTAAAATACTAAAAAGGGAGTAAATATACGTATTGAACTGTGTTGATATGGCATATATTATTTTATACAAATGATATAGTTTTGCTAACAAAACAATATTCATGCGCGCTACAAAGCTGTTTCATTCATTGAGACTCTAAATGCCATATTAACACAGTTAAATGCTAAATTGTAAAGAAAACATTAATTTTTAATAAATTCTGGATCATATGTGTTTGGTTCATTACAATCTGATTAAAATCATATCCAACGTTCTCTACGTATCACGTTATACGTAGAGAACGTAGGATATGATTTTAATCAGATTGGGTTCATTATTTGTGATATATCTTGTGGCCGGTTCTTAGTCGTTGCAAGCAAATGTTTACACCCTGACGTACATGATGATATACATTGTGAAGTAAGCGGCATATGGTACAATTAAGACTCACGTTTTTTGGTTCAAATAGAATGTTATTCCCCCGGTATCTTTTAGGTGGGATCCATGGGTAGGGGTGCCTCGGGTTCATCCATCTTACATAATGTAACTTAGACAAATAGTACGCATCGCAAGGAATACATAACTCCTTGGTTTTAAATTTGCCACTGCTATGTTAAAGGACGGGAATCCCTCAAAGTAAGCACGTTTATTTTATAACATTTAAACAATAAAATATTTCAATTCAATGATAGCTAAATGTTTTATATCAGAGAATACAATATACATGTACACTGCACACAGAGTGTAATGTACTTGAGTGGCGGAACATATGAATATATTTTTAAGTAATTGGTACATGTATATATTTTGCCACGTAAATGCAATAACAAATACAAAAATCGGAAAGGCTCGAGTGAAATATGATACATCGTAAACATGTTTAATATATATCCTATCGGTATATTTTGTACTTTATTCAATTCTTGAATGCAAGTTACATATTATTAAAACGCCTGTAAAACTATCAATAATAAGGTTGTACTGCAAAATACAGTACTAGTACATAAACATGTACGTAATGAAAAAACGCATCTGTATTTACCTGTGTTTGTTATATCTGTTTTGTGTGGAAATTGTACACCTCCTTCACGATTGACCAGCGATACAAAACATTTAGCGGTTTTCTGGTAATTTACAGGTACAAGTAACTGATCTCAAGTAAGGCTGCTTTAGATACATTTTATCTGATTTACAGTACGTACATGAAAATTATTTTGTTTACTTAATGATAACTGGTAGCTAGGCCTGGTAAATTCATAACTAAGGGATGTTTTAAAATTAAATTATAAAATTAAATAATTGATACTTTGTCAAAATAAATATAATTGGTTGGAATGTCATTATAATATGTCATAAAATTACTGGTGATTACTGACCTGCTGGACAAGACACCGACATGAAAGTTAATCGTGTAACATGTATGTACATGCGCTGCTGAAGTATTAAAATCTGAAACCGCTTTTCAATTTCTGGATCCGTCCCTGATGATGTGACCTTAAAGCTACAGTACACACGATTACGCGGTCGATAAGAACAATTTTAGAAAGCGATGTGACCGTTACCGTTAGATATAATCATGTTAATCTACCTGACATATGGCAACATACCTATCCATAGACTCCCTTTCACTACTATTGTAGGTATGATGTTATATAAAAGTTCTACTTTATCGTCTACTGACAGTTTTTTTTTTTATCTTTCTGCTTATTATCATGCATATAAGCCCTACTAAGAGTTAAAATTAGCATTCACAAAGTTGCTTCATACTGCTTTGAATATTGATACAAATATAGCTAATTCTGAAAGTCATCATATTGAATGCACTATATAAACATTGTTTGAAAGTGTGTTGGACTCATTATTAAAGAGAAATCATTTTCCTATCAAATAAATTGTGGTTATGAATTTTGTTGGTATAGAGCAGCATGCTTATTGTATTTTATTATTTAGACAGAAGAGGTTATCAACACGATGGAAATATATTCTCCTTGATCACACTCGCATAGTTAACTTAAAAAGAAGTTGATTATAAATATGTGCCGCTCAGAAAGATTAGTGATACTCCTAATTGTCACGTGACAGACCATGTGATAAAATTGGCAATCTTCGATCAACAGGATCCTCCTCTGCTGGAGGTCCAATCCGGGTAATGGTTTATAGGTGGCCACTTTTTCCTTTATCTCCTGCTCAAACTGAAACGAGTTAAATATATCAATAACACTTAATTGATTGAAAATATGAAACACAGTAAAAATTGAATACAATCATTCTACATTATATAATGACGTAACAAACAGCGCAATGAAATGATATTACAGTGAAAGGACTTTCCATAGGTAATGGTAGAATAAAAGGTGTTTAGGCTGGCTTACCTTCTGGCTCCAATCAACGTTCCGGATCCAGGGCTTTTGAAGGAGCATGCGTTCTGGATATATAAACAATCAAAAGGAAAGACGATATTCATAATGTTGGGAATAGTTACTTATCTTCGATTTGCAGTTATCATTTTGCAAAAATATATGCTGATCATCTTTTGTATGCATAAATAGAGTAACATGTAGTTATCATAATGCCATTAATCATTGTGCTTTCTAACGAAGTGTTGCTCGAGTAAAAAGTGTCGTTTGGGTTTGATTTTAAGAAAACAAATTTAGTAACTTATTTAATTGTGTGATATTCTTCTAGATATTTGCACTGCAATTGATAAATAACTATACAACGAAAATGTCCTTGCTGTTTTGAGTTAATAAGGTGTTACTAATAATACCATTTATAATTTTATATACCATAGTCAACATATGCACTGTTAATCGATACTGTAGTTAACGTCATGATGCCCACTTTGTGAAAACATCAAAACCTGTATTCTGTAACAATTAAAGGTTTTTGATATAAGAAAAATAAGTTCCATCACATCGTTGTAGTTTTAGATTGTTCCTTGTGTTTCATTTTAAGATTTTTCTACAGCATGTGCAGAGTTGCAACAAATATGTACTTTGTTATTATTTGTCAAAACACGAGCCACATAAATCTACAGTTGTGGGATCGCATAACGTTACACGATGTGCGGTGTGCGCACGATGTGTGTACGGTGTGTTAACGATGTGCGACGAAGTGAGAACGATAAAAAATTGGACGATCATTGAGTGCGCACATTTGTGCGGACGATCGACGAACGTTGTGCGATAACAATCGTGGTTGGTGTAAATTGAGGAATAGCTTAACAATATATACGGTTTCGTTTTTAACATATAAACTTGATTTTTTAGTATGTTTCTATATTCTAGTTACATCTATAAGCTTATCTTTCTGTCTATACTTTCAAAAATTTAGAAATGGTGTTTTCGGTGTTTTTTAAACGACCTTAATCGACACATGTTAAATTACAGGTGAAAACCAGGTAAAGGGGAGCTATAGACCAAACCGAATGCAAATAACAAATACTAAACGTCCCGTTGAGTTTTCATAACGGTCATACGGTATCACATACATGTAGCAGCTCTATGTGTCAGGCACAGGCCAGGTAAAACTCCGGTCACTCATCAAATTGTTATTTAACTGTTCTGTTACCTAGCTAGGAGCCAAAACCAGTCTTGACAGTCTAACGTCCACTGTATACTGTGTTACACGCATTGTAAAATTGTACAAAATCTTAATTATTGTGATGAGAAATTATAGTAATATATACAGTGTACATTATTGCATACGAGCCTTCCGTATTTTTTTCATTCCGTGATATTGATCAACAAATTGTACCAAATCGCACCGTTGTGCGGAGAGAAGCGCACAACGGCGCGAACGATTGCTAAATCGCCCAGATGTGCGCACCATGTGTGGACGATGTGCGGACGGTGTGTGAACGATGTATGCACGGTGTGCGCACGGTATTTATGGTGCGTTGTGCGGTCACACAACTTTATATTGTTTCTGTTGGTCATTCTGCCATGTCTTTTTCAGATTGCTCGGCAGTATGTGTAGACAACTTGCGATCATACAATTACTGAAGTATCGTATATATTCTACGCATCCTTTATATGCTAACATAAATATATTTAAGTAAAGGAAACCAGTTCAGTAAATGTCTCCGTATATATCACATAACCTTTGTACACGTCGAGTTGAAAATATATATATATAAAAAATATACCATGGATTCAACTAGTAGAAAATGAAAACAGAACCATATCT